ATTGAAATTACATAAATTTTAATTACATTAAAATTTATTCACAATAAGTCTTTTATAATTAACATTGCATATATTTAGGTAACTATATAAATATGTATATGTAGATATTGTTTTCTATATGTATTGTACTTAAATATAATGTATAATGGTATATAAATGAAGCTAAATATAACAAAAATAATGAATGTAATAAAAGTATAAAGTGAAAAATAACTATCATGATGGGAATGATACACAGTATTCAGGAATTTCAAAATAATATGCAGCGAACCAAAATTGATTCGATGCTTTGGTAAGAAGAAATTTTATATCAGAATTGAAAATTTCTTATTCTAATAATTAGGAACTTTTCATTTCAATTGAAATTAGAGCTATTTTCATCTCTATTAGATATTTTAGCATAGTTTTACAATTCTAACAAAGTACTGCAATGGTAACACGTTTTTGTAATTTGCTGCAAAAAGTATCCCCTTTCTTGAAGATAGAACTGGAAAAGATCTTCTGTGAAATCGACATTATAACTTTTTTTTTCTGCTCTTATATTTATAACCTCAATTAAAAGTGAACTCATTATTAAGAGAATAGAGATGAAATTATTGAGATTACACTAGAGTTTTTGTTGGCAGCGCTGCTTTAGTAGCCCTTTTGTAGTACAGTTTCAATCAATAAGATCTGTCGCAGTCAGAACTGTAAACGTGAATTTAATCATATATTTTTGACATTGAAAAATTTTTATATTTGAAATTCATCTACTAAAATAGTTTTGATAAAAATGGGCAATTATCAAATTTTAGAACCTTTTTGATTTAGAGATTATTAAAAAGTGATAACAAGACAATTTGTACAAGAATATGCATAAATTAAAAATAAGAGTGCTCTTTCACATTATTCCTTTTACTACTTTGTGATTTTGTATGAAAAGAGCAATGAAATGAGTTCATAATTTGTAAAGTATGCTATATACTTCTGCCACTATTTACTGTTGGCAGGTTGGTTGATAAACGTGACAGACATAGCCCGTCCACCGCACCAAAATTATCTAATCCACCAGGCATCTGGAAGAATCTATCTAAACACCCGATGCTAATTTACGATATTTCGCCAATCTTTCCATACAAGCAGCTACTTATTGTAGTTGTAACTTTTTCCACTTTAACAATTCGTTAAAAAATTTGTTGAAAATTGGTTCGCCAATGAAAACGCAATGTAAGCTCACTGATTTAATTCAATTAAAAAAATAATAAAAATTACAAAATAATGCTCACAGCAACATAGTTAATATTTTCATATAGAAAAAACTATAGTTTTTCTCTCCTTTCAATATTCATTATTTTTAACTATAGCTTTTTAATTAAATAACCTTTTCATTATATACGTTCACTTTTTTTTTTCTACTCTAACATGAAAGGAAAATATAAAAAACAAGAAACTCCCTCTTTCATAAAATAAGTGAAAAACAAAATATTAAACGCTTATTTTTTAAACATTTTATATTATGACATACATCACATTAATGTGCGTTACATTGTACAGTTAAAATGTTTTATGACTTATAAAAACACCTGTTCACAACACAATGAACAAGACAGGAAAATATTATGGTTTTTTACTTTATATCGAGGAAAAATTTATTTATATCACTGTTTATACATTATACCGTTATTATAGACTTATGTGTATATAAAATACAATTTTTTTAAGGTAAATTTGTAATTAGCACGAATCTTTAGTTGAAACGAAACTTTCAATATGAAATTAATATTACACAATAAACCTCATATAACACACCATAGAATAAAAATTAAATTTTTTTTAGTTTACAAAATTTTTTGGCGAAAATGTTTTTTTAAAGTACAATTTTAAATTTCTAGAATAAGGTGCAAAGTAACAGTTATTGAACGATATTCGTTCATAATACGGTTTAGTAATATCTATTTTCTTGACTATTGAATTAAAATGCTTCAGAAAGTCACTAATTTTGGTAATAAGCCAAAAAATAGATTTGGCCGTGCCGACTTAAATAATCTTCATATGAATGTTTTCAAAAGCTATGGGAAAATATTGTCAAAAAAGTTCACTACTAACATTATTAAGAAATTTTGTTTTCGAATTTTATAATAGGTATATAAAAACTTATACAACAACTATTATATTTTATTGGAATAACTTCCCCATTACAACATTCGTTTATTGTGTTGTTTAAATATTGCAGGCTTACCAAATTTTATATTATGTTGCAACATTGCTATTACAAGAATTAATACAAACCCATCCAAATGTTAATTTATTATTAAATTTGTGGTCCTATTATTTCATTCAACTATATGCAAAATTTGAATACTGTTACTTTTATAGTAAGTAACCGAAACAAGACCAAAATAATATGTTATAGTTGCAGGACAGCTGCCCACTGCTTTGATTTAATCAAAATTATTTAATTGTAATTTTGATGATTTTAAACACAAACGTTCAGTATAGAAATATTGCACACTTTCAGACACTCAGTATTAATAAAGTTAGGTCAAACCAATGGTTTGTATTGTAGCACTTTTCCCTTCAACTAGTGGAAATTCTGTTTTTAAAAATCTATGTATATCCACCACACTATTAAAATTATTTTCATTCATAAACGAAACTATTTCTAGGATTGCATATATTTAGGATGACCGATTTATGCAGTATTTGAAATAGAGCAAAAATTAATATAAAGAGGGGTTAACATAATGCTCGGTTTTAAGGTTTAAATGTGTGAGTTAAGAAAAATAATTATATTTTTTAATGTCATGGAATTTACCGTTAACTTTTTGCGTTTACAGACATTTGAAAAAGCTTGCGGTTTCGGAAATATAGGGTGTCAAAAATTCAAATTTTACAAATTTCAAGGGGCGATAACTTGAGAGGGGGCGGAGATGGAAAAAAATTTTCTTCTAACGAAATGAACTATTTGTTAATGTCTAAAAGCCCCTAAAATTTCAAGCTTCTACAGGCTGGGGTCTAGAAGAAAAACGATATCAAAAATTTGAAAAAAAACGGATTTTATGTAACAGTAAATTTTAACGGGCATTTTGTTTTTTTTAAAGTTCAAGTATAGTATACCACGCTAAGGAAAGCAAGCCGCTGCATTTTTGCGTTTGCAAAATTTCAAAAATGATTATGGTTTCTTTGCAACAAATAGTTGAAAAAGGCCATTTTTAGGGTTTTGGGGGGGTATACCTTCTAGAGGGGGGAAGATAGGTAAAAATTTTGTTCTACGGAAATAAGATTCTAGTAAAGATCTATGTACGTACAAAATTTCAGCTTTCTATCTTCAAGGGTGTAGAAGTTTTGTAAACAGACACACGGACGGACGGACGGACGGACAGACGGACGGACGGACGGACGGACGGACGGACGGACGGTCGGACGGACGGACGGACGGACGGACAGAGTGAAACTAATAAGCACTTTTTTTCAAAAATATTTTGGAAAAGTGCTAAAAATTAGTTTGCGAGAATTCATTAATATACGAAATCTCACGACTATATAGTAATTTAGTCTTACACAAGCAGTCTCGTAGGACTGCGGGAATATTTCAAGCTTTAGAGGTTAAATTCATTTGAACTGCTTCTGGAATTATATTATAGTTAAATATTAAATATTAGTATGATAAAATATATAGACACAATTTGAAAAAGTAATGTAAAGGTATTCGAAAATTGATTCCGCACCAAATTGAGAACATTCTATTACGCTTATCCTATTTGAAGTTAAAATAATTTCACCTTTGTAAATTCATCTCCATAATAATGTTGTAATACAATATTATGAACTGTACAATATAATTTTACATTATTTTCATTTTGTTATCCTTTAACCAGAATTATTATCTAAACTTTAAATTTACAGTATAAAGTCAATGTCTTTGAAATCAAAGAAATAAAATCAGACCATTTCCTGTAAAGAAAAACATAAAAGTAACAGAATATTTGTAATGTTGCATATATCATACAAATATTTTACAGATTTTCATGTTATTTTCACAATGTTTTCATAACACGTAATAAGAACTGCCACAATAAATTTTTATTTATACCGTCCCTTCATCACACAAAAATATTATCAAAAATCAGTCTTTCTCAAATTGTTAAAAATTTAAATAATATGACCTACCATTCACATATTTTTATTGTTATAGAAAATTTGTAACAGTTAACAGTTTTATACACAAATGAAAAATGTCATTTATATCAAATGAATTAAAAGAATATTGTAAACAATAGGCTGTTATGTATTCAAGTAAGAAAATCACACATTCATAAAAAAAGTTTCCAAAATTCATTTTGAGTTCCCCAACATGAGCATGTATTCGTAATTTGTTAACATTCACATGTATACCAATGTTCAAAACATGGAGTTTTTTTTATTCTTAGATTTCTACAGAATGCCAATGTGGTAAGTGCGTTTTAATAATGGTAAAACAAAATAACAGCGGTATTTTTCTACTATGTATTTTGTTTTTAAAAATTAGGAAAAAAACCAAAAACAAAAAATGAAGTTTTCGAAGAGCGCATGTCATTTTCGTGCAGTTCAGCATCCTTTATGGCTATATACATAAATATTTTAATTTACACTTCACTTCACCCTCTTTTTCTATATCTTTTTTTACCTTATTCTTCACTCCCTCATTTTATCATCTAGCATATAATATGGTATAAATATTTTTTTTTAAATGTTAGGTAAGTACACATTAAATAAGAAAAGAGAGATAGAGAGAGAGCGAGAGAAAGAGAATAACAATATTTAAAAAACAGAAAAAAGAAACAAATTGAAAAGCTCGAAACAAGTGAAATCCCCAGGCAACTTCATTATATTTATACCGAATCCTTTATACTACATAATATGTATACTATATACAAAACAATAATAAAAAAAAAAAAGAAAATTTTAAGGATTTTTCATTTCATCAAAAAAAAAATTTTTATCTCTATTACACAAAAAAATTTTCAGTCAGTATCAGAAATTTGGAACGTTCGAAACAATTTTTAAGAGTAATCCGCTACTCTAATTCGGTTGCGGTTTTAATTATTAAAATACAATAACAACAATTATAATAACAACAACAAACAACAACAATATAATATTCAGAAAGTGAAAAATCAAAATAAAATAAAAAAAACAACATAACAAAAAACAAAAAAGAAAATTTATATATTTTTCTTTAAAAGGGAAAAAAGGGATATTTGATACTCCGATTTTAAATTTTTTTTCTTGCTTTTATTAAATTTACGGGAATATACGATATTTAAAATTAAAATTTCTTTATTATTATCAAAATTAAAATAATTTATTAAAATAAACACAAAAAATATTAAAATAAAAAAAAAAAGAACATATTCATGTTCGTCCTTTTTAAACGATATTTTTGAGTGAAAAACAATTCATAAGATATTCGCAAAAAATCCTTGAAATTATACAGGATCTAATTTAAAAATTTTCCCCAATTTGATTTAATTAAGCTTTTAACATTTAAAAAATAATTGAAAATTTTAAAGTTAATACAAAAAAAAAATTTAAGGATATTTCATTATTTTTTGTTTTTTAATTAAATAAATAAAAAGTATTAAAGTTGAGAAAACCAAATTTCATTTTATGGAATACCAGTGAATGGAATACAAAAATTTTGAAATATATTAAAGTAAACATTTTTCCCTTCGTGTTATGAAATTAAATGAAAAGCAACAAAATATCAGAGGAAAAAACAAAAAATAAATAAATAAACAGAAATAAAATAATAAGAGAGAACGGAATTTAAAATTTAGGAAGACTTAAATATCCTTGTAAAAATTCTAAAGTATGTGAAAATTCAATTTAAAGTAATAAAAATGAAAATTTAAAATTAGAAAATTTAATAAATTTTTTTCTTTAAAATTTTTTGTTTTTCCTATTGCTAATTAAATTTACGATATTACTTTTAAGTATGTATATAATGTATATACAATAATATTTTGGTATACTGCCGTTAAATATACCTACATAAATATACGTACAAAACATTAATATTAAATTATAATTAATTCTGTCATAAAATGTGTAATTCATTTTAGTTTTTTAATTACATAGATCAAAATATTTGCTCTCGAATTGAATTTAAATCGTATATTTTTAGAATAACTTTAATTCTAACAATAAATTGTAGCAACAATTTTCATATTATAAAAATTCTGTGAATAAATTTTGAATTTTTTTATGTACATATTATTATGTATTTCTTAATATTATTTTGTATTACACATTTTATTATTAAACATACGAATTACGAGTACAACATGTATCTCTACACTCTTTTAACATTATTCATACATACATGCATATATACATAAAATATAAGTATATAAAACTCTATAAATATTATAATGTAATATATTATGAATAAATATGTATAACAATATGTTTGTATGTCGGAATATTATTATAAAATTTAACATCAAAGTATATAATATTATATTGAAAAGCTTCTCTTTCTCTCTCTGTATATATAATAATTTAATATTTAACATGAAATATAATATTATTTTGTTTTTAGTATAAAAATAAATGTAAGAGAGTATGGGAATGAGGTGAATATTCTAAATATATATACATAGAATATTAAATGATGATTATATTTATAATAGTAATATAAAAGTGAATACATTACATATTACATAAAAATAAATTAATAATAATTTTGAAATTAATAAATTATTTATAAAAAAAAAATTTATGTGCCATATTATTATTATTATAACAATATGTTGATATTATATGGAAGCTTATTACATTGTAAATAAAATGTGTACATAATAAATTTATATTATGTGCATATTGTGTACTTACTGCATATTTTATGAAAAATATATTTTTATCTTAAATTTATATTAAAAAAAATTTTTGTTTAAAATTAAATTGCTCACATAATTTGTATCTTCTGGAATAGTGAGGTATCCTTTTTCATTATATTTAAATTTTTAGATCAGGTTCAATTATATATTTGTAATTTTATTATCAATAATAAATAAGTTTGTTATTTACAAAAATTTTGAAGAATTAGATCTTATTAATAAATATTTGTTTTAAAAAGACTCAGTGCAACTATTTAAAGGTTTTTGCAATAAATATTAAATTAACTATTATAGTGTAGCAAAAAATGCTTGTGTTAAAGATGAACTGAAACTGAAATAAATTTTTAAAATCGAATAGTTAAAACTTTATTGAAAACAAAAATTTATTTAAGAAAATAAAAATAAGAATGTTGGGAAAAGAATGGCATTTAAATTATTAGTGGAGCAGAAAATAAAAAATTTCATTAAATTTAAGAAGAAATTTTAAAAAATTAACCAAACCTTCTATTTTAGATAGTAATATTCGAATTTTCTATAAATATGAGGAAAAAAGCGCTAGAATTTATTGAGAATAATAACTAGACATTTTAATGAGATATTAGTTTATTTGAGCCAAAAATTTAAAATTGTTCCAACTTCATATACTTTTTTTTGAAAAACTTGCAAAATAATATTAATTTCATTACTACTACATTCTGTTTGTTACTTACTTAAAATTACTACTAGGTTTCTGTTAAAATTCTGTGAAGGCACAGTAAAAAGTTAAACTGAAATTTTTTATTTTTTTCAAAAAAAATTTAAAATTTTGTTTAAAGTTTATTTTTGCTGTACGATTTCGTTTTGATCGCAATGTTTAATATATTTAAGATTATTAATAAATTGTATTCATTAAATTAATATAATTTAAAAAGGCTTATGAAAATTATAATAGTATAAGGAACTTGATATTATGGTCGCTAATATTACTTTAATTTAAATCCTTTGTTTAAAATTTGTTGCAAGCCCACACAATATTATTAGAATAAAAGCTCTAGTAATACATTAGAATCTGTTCTAATTTTACAGCATTCGCATGAGATTTCATCCGGAAAAATGAAAGATTAGTAATTCAAAATTAAGATAAATCTTAATCCAATAATTCATTTTATTCGGAATAAAAATTTATCATGATTGATATCTTAACAAATTTCACAATAATTGTATATAAAATATAAATTTATTGTGAGTTAATAAATTTTTGTTGAGCAATTTTGTTCAACCAATAAGTAGGCAATTTTATATCTTATATAATTAAAAAAACAGCAAAAATCATAATCCTTCTGCACTTTATATACACCATTTTTTTATATTTATTGCCAAAAAATTATTAAACATACCTTTGAACATGTTAAGCACACATTTTTTTCATTCAAGCCCCTTATGGTATGCAAAATTTTTTATTTTTAAAATATTTTTAACATATTCTGGAATTTATTAGCCAAGTCGAAAATTGTCAATTCAAAATTTTTGAATAGCTATTCATAAATATACAATAAATATAAGAAAGAACTTTTTATTAACTTAATTTGGAAAAGTGTAAATTCCTTACTTTGAAATAGCCTTTTAAAAGATCTGTAGCGAAAAGTGTACTTTTCTGTGAAAATACCAAAAAAAATAATTCTGTTTGGCCAATAAAACGGACCTTTCTGGAAACAACTATAATATTATAATTATATTGGGCAAATTTTGTTTAAAACTTAGAAACCGACACTCCTATGCAAATTCCAATCATCTCCAGTTTTATGGATTACCTATAACTTTTCTATAAAAATTTCGTATCATATTTTCAATTTCTAAATTAAAAAAAATATTTTTGAAAATTTAATTGTAAATTTTATTTCCATCATTTCTATCTAATCCTAAAAATGGAAATTTTTAATTTGAAGATATTGTCAAAGTCCAATATTCTAATTTTATCATTATAATTTTCTGAGATTGTTATTTTGATGCTGTAACCAAATGGCAATAGATTTTTTGTTCAACGGAAATTTTTAGTTCTTTATTTTTTGCAAATGACATTAGTTTTAACGTACTGACATGAATTTTCGTCCACCCACAACTTTTGTTTGTTGTATGTTTTACAAAAATTCAAAATACATAAAAAAAGATCAACTTTTATGTTGATAATATTTTATTCATTTTTTGTCATGCAAAACATTTTTAGATACAAACATAAAAAACAAGACCAAAGAAAATTGAAAGAAACATAAATGAGAAATAATGGTCCTTTCTTTACAAAGTACACGTATACACACATATTATATTCAAATTGGGATTTCATTTTGAGCACGGCAAACACATAATTTGATTCCTAGAATTTTAAAAATAAATTTTCATTTATTTCTTGTTTTTATTTTTGGTGTTATTTTGAAAGTATAGTTGAACATTATATTAATTTTGGATATTTATGGAAAATTATTTTTTCTGACAAGGTGAAAAACCAAATGTTATGCAAAACCATGGAGAATAATAATATAGTCAACGAAAATATAGAGGCTTTGTTTGAGGATTGAAAAGCTATGTTTGGTTTTTACTTTGAAAAGTCCCAATTTATAATACGATTTTTTTTTGAGAATATCTTTGTGAATAAGGAAATTTTTTTTTTAATTTGTAAAAGAATTCAATTATACCAAAAAAAAAGGTAAGCACATAAATTATTTTTTTACCTTTGTTGTGTTGTGGTCATTCAAATTTTGAATGAAATTATAAAGCTAAAATATTTTTTTAGAAATTAAAAAATTTTTTCAAACAGATATTTTTAATACAATAAATTAAATTAATGTTTTTACAAAATATAGAAAAGGTTTCTTTTAAGATTATTTTCTGTGTAAATTCAAAATTTTTTTAGAAACTCAATAAAACTCATTTTTATCAAAATATATTATTAATTAATTTGAAATTATTTATTATACTCAACGAAATTATAAAAATAATTGCAACCTGTTAAATGTTTTCTAAATTATAAGTTCGATATAATATAATTTTTACAAACAGTTGTTAATCATTGTATTACAGTCACATTTTCTTTACATAATATCCCAAAAACTTGAATTTTTCTTGAAATAGAATTCATTTTCGTTCACTTACAAACATTTTTTTATATTCAAGTTTTCTTCATTGGCAGTTAAATTCTATAGATAATGTTTTTAAAACAATTCGAGCTTTCCGAAAGTCAGTAAATTATAGTGCCCCCTTCTGAATTGTAAAACGTAGTATTGAATTCAGTGTAGAAAAACGCAGGCCGATTAACTTATTTTTTCATATACTTCATTTCAATAATTTAAGTAACAAATAATTGCATACTTATGGGATTTAAAAGCATACAAAAATATAGAAAAAGAATTAATATAATAATTCTCATCTTATAATAAAATCTAGTTCCATTTCGATGAGAAAATTAGAAAAATAAATTTGAAAAAATTCAATTGGAATAATAGTTGTATTAGACTATAGCAGTTTCGTTTGTTGAGAAATTAAATTTTAGTTTATGATCACACTTTATCATAAATTCTGCAAGAATCATATTTCTACAAATGATCGAAAATTTTACTAAATTTAAGAGAATAAGCAAGAAGAGAATAATTTTCTCCCAATAAAGTAAAATATATATATACCATTTAAAGAAAAATCCCGCTTTGGAATATCGGTTACTTAGAAAATGTAAAACAGTCTGATATATTATTTTCATTTTTCCGGATAGAGGATATGTTTCGGAAGACTTTACTTTCAGCCTTATTTATGGAATTAGAAATACCTTCTTAATCCGCCTCAATAACTTTTCAAAAATTAAACAAACTACAAATTCGTTTGCTATAATTTGGTTGGGAACGGAAATAGGCAAAAAAAGAAAATGATTTTCTATGTAAAATCTATATTGACTTCTCGTACTTCAGCTTAACATCTTTAAATTTTGTTAAGAAGCGTGCGAACAGCCAAATAGAACTAATAAGTGCAAGTTTTTCCAACCATTTATTATTATTCTTAATATTATTATCAGATAGATTTGTACGATATAGAAAACACAATCATCATTTAGACGCAAAAATTGCGGCTAACAAATTGCTAAGCAAAATCGTCATTATTCTAATATGGAAGGAACAAAAGAAATCAAAAAAATTGTAAATTGTATGTAGAATTGTATGTAGAATCTATTTATATATGGGTGTCTTCTTTTATTTTATAAAACTTTCCGTAGAATTATTTCTCATTTTATTTCTGAACCATAAAACATTTTCATCAAAATAGAATCAATTAAATTACAGAATATTTTAGTATACATGAGCAATTCCGTTTCTATCTTATTAATTTTACACAAAATTGAAAATTTTTAACTAGAAATACATGAAACGAATTTGTAATCCCAATTTGATTACATTTGAAGGACGTTGAGTGTTACATTACATTTTTTTCTATATTTAAAAAAACCATATAGAGAATTAAATTTGTGTCACCTAATTAACCAATAAAAAAATATCGATTCTATTTCAATTTTTATTTCATGACATAAGAATTAATGATTTTAATGGTTGGGTGTATAGAGAAGAAAAATTCTTTTACCGAAGGACTTTGAACTTTTTCATTTTAAATGGATTGTTAACTTTTTGGAATTTATTTTTCCTTTTTTTATTATTTTCCAATTTTCATTTGATTTCACCAGTATATTTGGTTCCAAACTTTTTTTTTTTAACTTTTGCAATTTTTTTGTTTTTTCTTCTTTAATTTTCATTATAAAAAAAAAAAAAAGTTTTTTAAATTTCTTTTTTCTGATTTCTACAACCCCAAAATCTTTTTTGCTGATTACAATCCGTTTCTAAAAATTAAATTTTCTTTCAAGTTTCTTTCGCTTCTTTTTTCTTACAAGGACGGTTTCTTTTCATCCCTTTTTTTGACCCCAAAATGTGCAAGTAAAACAACAAACTTAAAGTATGGAAAACCAATCTTTGAGTGTGAGTTGTTTTTTAATAAAAATAATTTTGAATTCAGCGCAGATGCAATTTGCATTGAAAGAAAATGCATTCCCTTTACTATACAACTGCACTAGAGCTGTAAAATTTTTTTTTGCTTTCATTGCTCTTATTTAAGAATTTTGAAATTAATTAAATGTGAAAGAGAAATTGAGGGTTATAAAAACATTTAATGAAATTTTTTTCTGTACTTTTTAAATTTGAATTTCAACAAAAACAGAGAATTTTCGCAGTTTCATTAAATTTCCAACTGGATTTCCAAAGAATTTGGCTATTGTTGTTGTTTTCGGTACATTTAATTTATTTATTTCTTTTTATGTAATTACAAGAAAATCTTATAGTTTAAATTTTATTTTGAAATTTTAATATTGAAAAAAAATGGTTGAATATTTAAAATTAAATTCATGATTTATTTTATTATGTTTCATCATGTTGTTGGATGCAATAGGTTTTAACTAATTTCAAGAAATTTTCGCGATTCTGTGTATTCCTAGTGCACATAATGTTTGTAATTTTTTATGTACTAACCCGATGTTACCATCATCTAGTTATAGAGCTATACGTATTTAAAGTCGAAATTCAAGTTTTTGAGAAACCTGTGCTCAAACCAAAAGCCATTTATAAACCTAGAAAAATAAATAATTATTTTGTTCCAATATTTTGTTTTTCTTATAAAAAAATATTCTTAGATATAATAATGTATATCCCAGGCTGTTGAATAGACCCAAATAACTCGCATTCTTATACTTGTTTTCCCCCTATTTTTGGAATAATTTTTCTATTACATAGTACCTTGAGATATGGACATCAATATTAATCTTCTACCTTACTAGAAAAAAAATTTACAACATATATTTCCTTTTTTACTGTATCTTTGCCCTTTACACAAAAATATACATTTTTTTTTTCAATTTCCTATTTTCTTAATTTTCCATTTTCATACTATATCAATGTTCTTATGATATCATTCTCTGGAACTGATATATCGTATAATAATTATTATAATATTCTGTTCAATTTACATTAAATGAATGAAATTTTTAAATCTTCAACCATATTCATTAAAATTATTTAATATTATTAGCAAAGATCCTGTTGTGATCATATCACCATAAAAAATGTCCATAATTATAACCTAATATTTAAATTTCGAATTGATTGCAATTAAAAGCTGGATAATTAAATTATAATGAAAAGACAAAAACATTAAAAATTTTTCCATTTATTTTTAACGCACACAAGCAATAGTACATAATATAGTATAGATGAATATAAAAATTTACACATAAATTTATACATAAATAATAAAAAAACTTGACTCTGAACTTAACATTGATATTTTTAACATACAAAAACACAATATAGAAAAGTAACAATAAAAAATACACGTACATCAAAAAACCAAAAAGAAAAAAACAAATTTTTTCTTAAAACAATTTATTTATATTTTTTTCTTTATTTATATAATATTAACAGAACCTTGACAGGACATCAAGAGCAAAAATGAAAAAAAAAGAAAAAAAAATTACTATAATAATTTATTAAAGGAAATAATAAATTTCCTTATTTTTTCATTTTATTTTTAGTTTATAAAATATACGATATCCGAGAGTATATACTTTATGTATACATATTAACATATTTGTAATATATATAATATAAGCATATATAGCATTTTTATTCTGATATACCTTATATTGTATAGAATTTGATCCAAGGTCCAAAATACAACATTGAAATATTATAATTGCATATAATGTGTATAGGAGAATAACCATTTGAAGTATATTTAAATAAATGAGATCCTTATATATGTATAAAAGTAATTAATAAATATAAAAATTATAAAAATAAAAACATAGGTATATCATATGTATTTATAGAAATTTAAATATACTTTATACAGAACTATTAACACGCACTTATACTATAAATATATTAGAAATAGTATGTTACTTTAATATTTTGAATTAGAATATTATAAAGAAGATCATACATTTTATTATAATATATAGCTAATATTATATAAATAAATTTTATATATAAAATAATACACGAACACAATTACATAGAATACAAACAGTTTATGTAAAAATTATTTTGTTTTTTCTTACATTTCAACCAAAACCATAAAATACATAATATGAAATAAATAAAAAATAATTCAAATAAATTATTCATTCCTACATATATATGTATGTATGTATATACAGAACAAAGTGTGAATTTTTAAATTACATTTTAACATACAAACACTTATATAAACATACAAAATTGTATAATATAGTGATAAGTTATTGTATGCTATTTATACTATAAGAAAAATCATAATAGCAACAACAGCAGCCACAGTAACACAGTATATACGAGTATAAGAGAACAATAACAAAGAGAAATATATTTAGCAAAAATAAAAGAAAAGAATAAAAAAAAACAAAACAAGAAAATCATAATAAAAACAGAGAGAAAAGATTTTTATAAAAAGAAAAAAATTCAAAACAACTAGCTACACACAAAATATAAAACGTACAATTGCTCAATATTACATACATAAATATTATATTATAATATATAGTGGAATATCAAGGACTTTGAAAGGTGAAAAAGGATTAAATATAAATTTTATGTACCTACAAATTTCTAATTTATACATACCATTATTACATACACACATATTATATACATATGCATAATATACCAGTATAATAATAATATGAGTTTTGTATATAATATTATTTTCTTTTATCGATTACATACGACCGATTCTGTAAAAAATATATACATTAATACATACTTAAAATAAAATTTCCTAGTGGTAATACATTTTTTGTGAAATAGAAAATATATAACATTTATACTCATTTATATACATATTTTATACACGCATTATATAATATCGTAATTATAAAATAGCTATATATACAAGTAAAAAATATAACTCTATGTAATTTATTATTTTCAGAATATAAAAAAGGAAGAAATACTATATAATAAACATATATAAATATAATATAGAAATCCTTAAATCCTAGTTCAGAAAAAAAAACAAGAAGGATAACATTTCTTTACACATAAAATATCTAATTTATTGGATAATAAGAAATTAAATTGCAAAAAAACAAAAAAAAAAAATTTTATATGAATGATCTTTAACAAAAAATCATAAAAGGAACCACAAAGATATATATATATAAAAAAAAATAAAAACTAATAGAAAGGATTTTCATTCAACTCAATAAAATAGAAAACCAAGAAAAAACAAAATTAGAAATTCTTGCTTTTCTATTTGTTGTTGCTTTCCTGGAGAGGTTAATAAAGACATCAAACAAGGATCAATGTAAGTTTTATTTAATTTTATTCCTTAGATATATATAACATATAATATAAATGCTAATATATACATATAAAAATTCTTATATAATAAAGTTTAATGTGTTGATCAAAGTTTAATGACGATTAAAAGTCAAAAAAATAAAACATAAAAATTATATTGCAAATTATGAGTATAAGTAATTAAAATATTATTTGTATCTGAAATTAAGTGGAGGAAAATGAAGAGCTGAAATCGGTTATAACGTACACCATCAAAGGGGATGATTTCGAAACGGTCTCTTGAATAATCATTGGAAAAACTTAATGTTGTTAGCAATTTTGTCGTTGAAAATCGTTTTTTATAAACCATAACACATTTTACCCTTTTTATTGTTTCAGACCCTCGAATATAGTAGAAATCCCGCTATTTTGGTGTAAACTTAAAATTTCATTAGTCATATAATATGCGAATATCAGTTTAAAATGTGACGATATTATTATTTTTGCAATATGATTAAGTATACATGAAGTGAAGGGACAAAAGGGGATTAGTGTGATAATATTGAACTATGGAATAATAATTATGAAATAAAAATGTAGGTATACCAATGAGATCAACAATAAACCGTAATAATTTTTTACCATTATCGTATATAACAAATAGCGTTAAAGCCAATGCAAAATAACTCGCGACGCAGTGAATTTTCCAGAAACTGTGCAGCCATAAAAGCCTCTAAGAGAATTAAAATGAGTCAAACCATTGATTTGTAAAATAGCTCTTATCAATAAGTGAAAATATAATTTCATTTATATATAAGAATTTTTTAAAGATTGCATACATTTAGGATGAATCAAAAAAAAAATTGAAAGAAACGTTAATTTAATGCTCGAATTTAAGGGTTAATTGCATGAATTAAGAATAATAATTATATTTTTTGATGGCATGCCGTTTACCGCCAGCTTTTCGCATTTGTAGAAATTGTAGGTGGCAAATTTCAAGCTTTTCAATTTCGAGAGCCGATAATTTGAGAGGGGGTGCTAGATAGACAAAGTGAAACTAATAAGCACTTTTTTCCCAAATTTCTTTGAAAAAGTGCTTAATAGTAGTAATAGCAGAATAAAAATACAAAAGTTCATATAATGAAATATTCTCGCTAGTGGCTCATTTCTGACACAATAATCGTCAATGTGCTATAGTCAGCATCATTTAGTGATCACAAAAAGCTCAGTTTTCTATATTATATTTTCGTTAAATGATACCATTAGGTACAGACGGAGTAAATAAATTAAATATAAACAACTATTCTACGACAACGCAATGAAAGATGCCCATAAATTAAGTAGGAAAATAACTACGAATTTCTAATTAACTTTTATTGAATTTTTTAAATAAACTCTAACCAAATTGTTTAGAAACAGGCTATAGTTATAAATTTCAATGATTAAACTTTGAAACTGAAAATTCAAAATTTTTTACTTATATATATAATAATTGGGATGTGGAGTAAAAAGCATATGGTACTCTAACTAAACATGATTTTTTAATGACAATTTAAAAAGTTGAATATAAAGTTTTTATGTCATCAAAAATTTCGGAATGATATAGACATTAAAAAGTTTTTTTTTTTTTGTTTCTCTAAATATCAAAATAATAACTTTGAAGGGTTATTGTCCCCCAAAAGAAAAAAGAAAGAAGAAAAAAGTTAATAGAATTTTTGAAAAACTTTATTTTCCTTTCTCTTTTTTTTCCTCTCTCAATTTTTTTTTTACGATAAAACAAAAACATAATAAAATGTGTTGTTGTTTAAAACATTTATAAAATGCAATTAAGTGCTCAAGTGCAACATATTGTTAACTGAATTTTTTTTTAGAAAATTTCATGAATAATTTTCCATTTTTCAAAAGTTTCTTCATAATTTTTTCTCTTTTCTTTTTTTTTTTTATAAATAACATATGGCTAAATTAATTTTTCAATGCGTAACAAAATTTATATATACTACATACATACAAACATGTGTACATATTTTGTATGCAAACTTTTCGTTGGAATATGCAATGATCACTTAATTTGAGTTTTTTTTTCCAGTTTCGAGTAAGAAAATAAATGCTTATGTTGCAAAATACACAGTATTTTTTAAACTTCAGCATTATTTAGCACTCTTCCATAAAATTTTTGAAAAAAATGCTTAATAGTTTTAGTCTCTGCTTAATAGTTTTAGTCTCTCTGTCCGTCCGTCTGTTCATGTGTCTGTTTATAGAACTTCAAGATAGAAAGCTAACATTTTATATGTACATAAATCTTTATTAGGAACTTACTCCCATAAAAGAAAAGTTTTACCTGTCTTCCCCACCCTTTTTTGAATTTTAGGCGTATTATATTTCTTATCTCTCGCAATAAACCAGTAAAATCGAGCATTATGTTAACGTCTTCTTAAATTTATTTTTGCTTTGTTTCTAAGATCATTGATCATCCTAGACGTATGCAATTTTTGAAATATTTTCGTATATGACTGAAAGTAATTTTAATAATACAAACATAGTTAGATTGTCATTAAAAGCAGTATTTTTACTTGTTAAAGCGAAAAGTGCCACATTACAAATCCTTGGTTTGACATAACTTCATTTTTTGATTATTATTATCAAATTTTGTTTAGGAGATTTTTAAAATTTGTTTCTATGCATAGTTTATGTAGAAAAACAGAGAAGTTTCTGCATTCTTTGTAAAATAAATTTTTAAAATCAATGAAATTTGATTGATGATGATTTTGATTGAGTATTAAAATTTTCAAAAAATCCTTGTATATCTCAAAAAAATATTAATCAAATTCATAAAACAATTTTTGGGAGACAAATTTTCGGTCTTGAATTTCATCTGTAATTGACTTCTATTCGAAGATTTCTATGATTTAAGAAACACAAATTTTGAAAAATCTTCTATCCTTCTAGAGCTAACAATAAGTTTATTGTTAAAACTTTTAAATTAGAAATTTTTTTCCCGCAAATTAACGGTGTTATCACAAATATAAATAAAAAATATTTTAATTATTGTGTTCTTTTATTTCAAACAGTTCCATCAGCATCTTTCCACTCATTACTGAACTATTGACTTTGATTTAGAATTATAATTGCCTCAATTCTGGACCTAACTTTAATTACCTCAAAGAATCATTTCACTTTAAGAACACTTTCATGATTTATTCTACATTAATAATAATTATTATCAATTACCGCTATACGATATAGCTATTATATCGTATTTTAAGAACTTGAAATTATTGGAATTTCATACTTTAAATTAACATTTCAAATCAAAATGTCAAAATATTATAAAGTTAATTATTAAATATTGTAAAAATAATATTGATAATATTCTCTTCGTTTTAATACTATGTTTAAATCCTATGTATAAAATGATTTTATGACGGTATTAACGTTCTGAATGATGGTAATCTAGAAGAGAATAGGGATAATTGAATAAGAAAAATATAAATATCTAAAAATGCTTCTTTGCTGTGAGTGAACTGAGCTCCCATTAAATAAAAAAGATACCCTGATTACATGACATCTAATTTTCTTTTGTAATCAATTAAGAGAATAAAGGGAAGATGAAGAATCTGGTGAATAAGTGAAGAAGAGAGAAAAGAAATAAAAATTTTTATTTTTGATAACGATCTCATTGACATAGGAACTATTAAAAGATTTTCATTTCTTCCTTTCTGCTTATCATTAGTGTTGGTCTTTTCTTTTTTTTTTTGTCGCTTTGATTTTTTAAATTATTTGCTATTTTTCTGCCATATTTCTTTTGTTCCTTTCACATTCAAAGAATTACAAAAATGAAGAAAAAAAAATTTTTTTTTGTATTTCTTTCCTTTTTTAAATAATTTTCGTTTGTTGTTTTATTAAAAAATAAAATAAAAGAACAGGAAAGAAAAAAAAATTTATATTGATCTCTTTAGACCTCTTTACCATTTTCCGTCGCTACCTCTCTCTCTCTATTTTTCTCTCATTTCATGTTTTACTTTTGTGTCTCTTATATTATAATATGCCGTATATTTTTTCCCTTAATTTTTTTTTCTTTTCAATAGCCCCTTTGTTTACAAGTGGCTATATTTTATTTTTAGGAAACATTATTTATCCTTAACGTTGAAGGACATTCGAAATTTTTTTTTATTGTTTTCATTTCTTTTTTTTTTATATATATTTTCTTGGAATTTTATTTTCCTTTTTTTTTCTACGCCATTGTCCACAATTTAAATAATAATATTTACAATTTATAAATATTCGCACTTCTATTTTATAAGATCTATACAAAAATTATATATTAATACATAGAGAAAAATTTATACGAGTATGTACAAATAAATGAAGTATTTTTCATAGCCTATATACAATATATAGGTAGTTATTGTAGAACAATAATTTTATGTATATGAGTATGACATCGGACTAAGAAATTCACTTGAGATTTGTTATATTTGTTAACATCAACTAGAAGAAAATAGAAAATGAAAAACAATAACATTATAATGCGTGAACAAGTAGAGAGAAAAATAGAGAAATGAAAAAAAAAAGACATCTGGTTTACATATTTTACATAGTAAAGAATGTAGTTTAAATTTACATTACATGTAAAATAAAATTTAACAGAAAACAGAAAAAAAAAGAAAATGCTTTGGGATAAAATGGGCTTTGAAATATTTGGTCAAAAAATAATATAGTACGAGTTTTTGTTGTTGTAAAATAATATCGAGTTTGTGTGTATTTTTAGGATCAAAATTTCAAAGATGAAAATAATATTTGAAATTTCGAAATAGATCCTTTTAAAATAAAAATTTTGAATAGTAATTCGTTTGCTAAATAAAAAATATTCAAAAAAATAATTGAAAAATATCCTAACCTTACTTTAAAATCACAATATCAAGATTTTCATTCTCTTACTTGTACCTCATATTTGCCATTTAGGGACGAGTAAAATGGCGAAACACAATATAACGTTTTAGCACGCAAATAAAAATGTGAAGGCTA